CTGCAATACTCAACATTAGCAGTCTGTTGAACTTCACCACTCCTGCTGCTCAAACAACCCCCCCTGTCCATGTAGTCCTGAGGCCCACAGTCCAAGCAAACACCACCACCTCTGGGGGAAATGCTGCATGGATCCTGGCCATCATTATCCCTTGCAGTATAGTCATTATTCTCATACCGTGCTGGATTCTGCTCTGCGTAAGTGTCAATTAAATCTCTTCTAAACACTAAATTTAGAGTGTTATTTGGCAAGAAATATAAATAATCCTTATATATTTTTATATTTATCTGTATCTGTATCAGTTGCAGGCACTGACTAAAATTATTTATTTTTGATTACAGATGTTATTTTTATTTTGCAATTACAGGAACATGAATAGCTAATCAGAATCTCTCCTGTATTCCCCCTTGTCTCTCTTTTTTTTAATTTTCTCTCTATTTCTCTCAGTGTCTGCTGTGTGGCTGCTGTGCTGGTTTAAGGAGGCGCTACAACAGAAGACGGTCCTACAATGTTCAATACACAACACGAAATGGACTCTTTTAAAAACAGTTTGAGTGTAAAATAACAAAATATAACTTGTAACCATTGGAATCTATTTTACTTCATAGTTTAGTTTTCTATTTATTTATTTTATTCTATTTTATTTAACCTTCATACCCAAAAATTTACTGTTCTGAATTATTATTAAGCTGCATACCGTCTATTAAAGTGAATTATTAACAGGATAAAGTATATATTTTTTTCCAAACTCAAATGTTCCCAAATATTTTAATTTAGTTTATTTATTAAGGACATTTAGAATAAAGCTTATGAAATTATGTCTCTAAATGGGTATTATTCTATTTTGATTTGTTATTCTATAAGGCATCATGTTGCAGTAATGTCATTTTAATTAATAATTAATAAATAATAAGACATTATTTTAATCTCAATTATCCATCAGAGTTGCATAGAAATGAGAGCAGATTTGATCGCCCTGAATGACCTATGCTCCAGGTACACTGGTTTCCTCTGTCTCCAAAAAACATGCCAGTATTTGGACTGACCAGTCTGAACTGCACATCACTGGAGGGGACAAAAGCAAGTGTACCACTGTGTGTCATCAGTGAATCAACAGTGGAAGTTAATACCATGTTTTTCGAATAATTTTGTCCAGAGGTAGCATATATAAAGAAAAGAGCAGTGGGCCTAAAACAGAGCCTTGCGGGACACCAAACTTTACCTTAGTACACATAGAGAAGTCACCATTTACATCTACAAACTGATAACGATCAGTCAAATAAGACCTGAGCCAGGAAAGGCTTAACACCAACAACATTTTCTAGTCTATCGAGGAGAACAGCATGATCAATGGTATCAAAAGCTGCACTAAGGTCAAGCAGCACAAGCAAGGAGACACAACCCTGATCAGAGGCCAGTAGTAGGTCATTTACCACTTTAACCAGCGCTGTCTCTGTGCTATGATGAGGCCTGAATCCTGACTGATACATCTCATTAATGTTATTCCTATGTAAGTATGAGCATAACTGCTGTGCTACAACCTTTTCTAGGATCTTGGAGATAAAGAGGAGGTTTAATATTGGCCTATACTCCATCAACTGTGATGTACACTATATCCAGATTCCTGTAAAGCTGCTTTGTGAAAATGTCCGTTGTTCAAAGTGCTATATAAGTAAAATTGATTTGAATTAATTGTAAAATACATACATAGATGTATTATAGATTTAGAAGGTAGCAGTGCCTATTCATTGAAGCAGATATTGATATATTGCTCTGTTTTAGCTCCACAATTCTGACACTAATTGCACTCACACAATTGTCTTTAATATGATGACACGAGGAAGAAACCTTGAGAGGAACCATACTTAAAAGGGAACCCATCCTCTTCTGGGTGATACTGCAGTGCGATACTCTTCCACAACTATAGAGTATTTATTAGGCTCTTTTCCTTTAAATCTGTGTCTGAAAAATGGCACAGAAAAAGTCAGGCTCTTTTCTTCAAGACATGTGCCTTTTTGTACTTGTAACTTGTAAGCACTGATATCCATCTTATCAATCCAGAAAAGATTAAAAAATAAAAGCAAAACGTTTTGTCCTTCACAGAATGAGGGAACAATACAGCAAGTTGGAGTACATCCAAAACCAACAGTCACCAAGTAATGTCACGCTTGAGATGAAAAGTACAAACTAAATTATCAAACGTAAAAAAAAATTTTACTTTTTAATAATGTGACAGTTGATGATGTGTCTGGTGGAGGGTGATGAGGTACTTAACAAACTAACTAAATGGAGAAGTTTCCATGACGGCATCTGGTACCTCCTCCCAAGTTTTGGCATCAATGTATAACCCTAGTGAAAAGGGGCTATCACTAGCTTGCAGCTTTTGCCCCATTCAAAATCAAGGTTCAAGTTCACGCTCTGCCCTTGTGTGTGTGTTTCCACTCTTTTTCAGGTTATGGCAGACCCTGCAAGCACACAGAAACAAACACAACACATAAGGCACAGGTGAGAATCATCACATGCTACCAGCCAGTTCCCCCACCTCCTCTCTGTCTGCAGCTGGTGCTTGACCACACCCCCACTGCCAAAGTGTGCATTATCTTTGTACAACAGCATGCCACGGACAGTGGTTCTGGCTGTAACATGAACTATAGGTTAATATAAATGAGCTCATTCGAATATATTATTTTTTCTATAGTAACATCTCATACACACAGATTTGTATGGTGGGCAGTCCACATAATCTAAGACTAATAATAGATTGTTTTGTTGTTTAACAAAGTAAAACATATAATCATTAAAGTGGTAATTTTTTTAGGAGTCCAGGAAAAAGTGCTTTGTAGCCATCAAAGTTTCTCAGCACAGGAAAGTCTTCTGGACAGGGGAGACACTTTCTGGTTTCTCAATAACATGACAGGCTGCATTTGTGTGTGTGTGAGACAGAGAGAGAGAGAGAGAGAGAGAGAGAGAGAGAGCTCATCACACTCACATTAAAATATTATCTAACCATTTACTCATTGTGACATTATGACATGTCAAAAAAGTTTATCTCAATGCAACATGGGTGTGTCAGCAGAAGAATAGCAGGCAAAACAAGTTTTATGTTTTAGTTCAACACCTTCACCACCACTCTCAGTGACAGAAATGATAATGAAAAATGTCCAGACTCCTGTATTCTCATTTGTAATGTTTGTAACATGTTTTCCAAGATTCACCTCCCTGAACTTAATTTTAAAAACATTTTATCCTTCAATAAAGATAATTACAGTCACTACCGTGAAAAGCCATCCTGAAAGCTAAATGATATAGAGCTCACAGTTTGTCCGGCTTTGACTATACAACCTACAAATTCTTAATGTCAATAGACGAAGGGCGGAATGTTCCACGTATTTGTTCTGCTTCAAAGCACAACAATGACATACTAGGCAAAAGAATTAGTTCAGTATGTAGGTGTCATATTTTCAGAAAGACCTTGCTAGACACTTCCTTTGAACCTCAGTTCTAATTATAAATCATTAATTGCTTGTTTCACTTTGAAGATCAGAGAATACACACATGAAAATGAAACTCATTTGTCTTTTGTCACTTGTCTTTTTAATTGTGTATTGTTTGACCTAACCCACATTGATGGATGACTAAGGGTGTTAGTGCTGCAGGTCAGAAAAATGCTTAAGTGAAAATGTCTTTTAAAAACACAGTATGTGACTTTACATTTTTAACCAGAACTTTTGGGAATGAAAAGTTTTAAATGATGCCATTATTAGTAATAGACACAACTTACAAAATTTTAGACTGATTGATTGATTGATTAATTGATTACTTAAATATTATTTTGGGGTGTTTATATATTACTTAGGTATTATATTAAGTACTCTCACTTAACTGGTTTGGTTCAAGCACAAAACATTGTTCAAGCACAACTTACTGTCTACATTTCAATCATTTCAGGTTAGCATCCAAGCAATTACAGTCCCCTCCGAAATTACTGGAGTGGTAAGGCCAATTCTTTGTTTTTGCTATACACTGAAGACATTTGATTTTGAGATCAAAAGATGAATATGAGATGATAGATCATTTCCTGATATTTACAACTACATGTGTTATACAACTTAAAACATGCCACCTTTTGTTTGAACCCACCCATTTTTCAAGTGATCAAAAATATTGGAACACATGACTGACATGTGTTTCTTGTTGCCCAGGTGTGGCCTGTTAGATTGTTTAAACTATTAATAGCACTGAATGTCTACTCTTGGTTTGAGCACTGGGTTTCACCTGTGAAGACCAGAGAGCTGTTTATGGGAGAAAAGCAAGCCATTTTGAAGCTGAAAAAAGAGGGAAAGTTGATCAGAGCCATTGCACAAGCATTGGGCATAGCCAATACAACAATTTGGAATGTCCTGAAAAAGAAAGTAACCACTGGTGTACTAACAACCAAACATGGAACAGGTTGGCCAAGGAAAACAACAAGAAAAACCCAAAAACAAGAGCCAGTGACATTCCCAGCAACCTCCACAGGGTAGGGGTGAAGGTCTCACCATCCACCGTTCGAAGAAGACTTCAAGAGCAGAAAAATAGAGGCCAAACCACAAGATGCAAACCACTCATCAGCAGTAAGAATCAGAAGGCCAGATTGGAATTCACAAAGAAATACAGACATGTATATGTGTAAATACAGACAAAGGTTCTGCAACCAAGATTAACCTCTACCAAAGTGATGGAAATTTGTTTAAGACATCTAGATGTACATATCAGGGAATGAAAGCTGAAATTCTGATCTATCTTCTCATATTCATCTTTTGATCTCAAACCCAGATGTCTTCAGTTTATAGCAAACTCAAAAGAATTGGTCTTGTGTTCCAATACTTTCGAAGGTAACTGTAAATTAGTATAGGATCAGTCCATCTCAAGGGATCCAATGATTGTAAATTTGGTTGCTTGACCGTTTTTAATTTTATCTCATTTTTTTGGAGTGATTACCTCTATGTATTGGCATTGGGTCCCTGGAGGACTATTGGTTAGGCCACGGCACACTCGCTGCCGTAGCCTGGGTTCGATTCCCAGCCAAGGAACCACCCTACACACAAGAGTGCACTTCCAGTGCTGGTCCCAAGCCCAGATAAAATTCATCCAGTGAAAAACTGCCAAATCAAATATGCGGACCAGCAATCTGTTGTGGTGACCCCTAACGGGAGCAGCTGAAAGAAGAACAACAAAACCTCTATGTATTGGCATTGCAATACTACCATTTTTTTTTATTTCACTTGGTTTATCCATGACAGCCATCTTTGTGTCATGGCACACAACAAATTTTGGTTATACAGCTGTTTATAGAACCTCAATATCTTGGCTCAGGATAGTCTTATCAACTTGGAACAAAAACTGATCTCTAGAACACATTACAAGGAACATGTACATATATAAACATTTTGCACATTCTAATTTAATGCTCAAGATTGCTCACAGTTCCACTATTAGGGTCAATTTATAATGGGAAGGGTTCCAGTCTCAGTCTTAAGTTTTTTAGGGGGTACCTAGGTAGGTATAGTGTGCATGCAGAAGATTATTTTTTTATGGGGGTGAGAAAGTGCAATTTTTAAAAATTCCCCTCAATTTCGGATTGAATATCTCTGGTGGGGGATCAGATACGAACCTGAAAGTTTCACAGAAATAAGTCGTCCATAGTAGCATTCTGCTGTGAAAAAAAATTGAAAAAAAAAATTGAGTTTGAGATTCCACAGGTTACAGCGCTAGGGCTAATAGAAATCTGTTAAAAGCCTACTTTATTCATGCATTTTGAGAAATGAACAGATGTAATATGAGCATAACAAATAATAAAAATTAACAGTATTTTACAGAAATTATGTTTATAATTGACATACAATAGCTTATGCTTGTCAATGAGGCCTAAATTGTTACTACATTTGATATTGGTAACAGTGAAGCATGATCTATCACAGGGTTCTTCAAATCTGCAGAGTTTAGCTTCAACTTCCCAACTTACCTGCCTGTAATTTACTAGTAATCCTGAAGACTCTGGTTAGCTTGTTCAGGTATGTTTGATTAGGGTTGGAGATAAACTCTGCAGGGCAGTGGTCCTCGAGGGCCAGATTTGAAGAACCCTGATCTATCATGTTTTTGAATCGCTTGCCTGGAGTTTCTTGCCTGTGTCAGCATTTAAATTATAAGTTTTTTTCTTTTTCAGCAATAATTTTGCTCTATCATTTTCATTTGTTGTTCTTTTCACTTTTCCCACTTTAGAGAGGGTTAGCAAGAGTGAGAGCAGTGTAGTTTCTGTAGGGGAAAGTCTGGATGCCACAGGCGGAGTTAGCAATCCCCCAACTCCAGTATTAGAGTCCTCACAGCGGGGCGAATGGGTGACGACTCGGTGGCATAATCTCAAAGCCAAAGCTAATGCTAAGGGAGCACCACTAAGGGTCTCAAAGCTAAGGCTAAGGGACCACCCATGGGAGCACCACTCCTCTCCGCTTCATGTGTCTAACAGGTTTGCTCTCCTCAATGAGGCACCTGCTGAGACACCTGAAAGAGCTCTGGTTATAGGAGACTCTATCTTAAAGCACATGAAATTAGCTAGGCCTTTAAAGGCAGCAGCAGCACTAGTTAGGTTTATACTGGGACCCAGGGCACTGGACATAGCAGGTAATCTTAGGATCTTAGGCAAGCATAGGTTTTCGAAGATAGTTTTTTCACGTAGGAGCTAATGATATACGCCTTTGTCAGTCAGAGGTTACTAAGAATAACATTGCAGAGGTGTGAAAATTAGCAAAGGCAATGTCCAATGCAGCAATATGCTCCAGCCCCATCCCAATGCGGCATGGCGTTGTAGCTTACAGCAGGTTATGGTTGCTGCTGGATGTCCAGGTGGTGCTCTGAGAACAATGTGGGCTTTATAGATAATTGGAGTAGTGGAGGGATGATATGAGGGGAAAAACCTTGAGAGGAACCAGACTCGAAAGGGAACCCATCCTTATCTGGGTGATTCTGGATAGTGAAAATATAAATAATTCCCTTCTATAAGTGTATACTATACGGTCAAAAAGTGCAGTTGTGTAACCCTGAAAATTCATTATGGTTTTCATGAGAAGATTTTGTTGAAGTTATCTACTGTTCGCTGAGACTTGAGTGCAAAACTGTTCATGGGAATTAAAGCTAAAGTTATCAGAGCAATTGTAGTCCTAAGTCATTGTAGCAAAACTGTTCATATCAGTTGTAGTCCAAAGCCATCTTCATGGTTTCTAAGTGGTACCATCCACAGTAATCTCATGTAACTTTATGCTGTCCATGTGGGGCCATCCTCAGCAGGAGCTAGTGATTTCTAAGTGATGAGAAATCCAACCAGAAGTATGGCATCAGCATGGATCAGGCAGGTCTGGAGCAGAAGGGGTCAGGATCACTGGTATCTCAGGAGAAGCATGTGTAGCTTGACAGAGAGAGAGATACAGAGAGAGAGACCGAGACAGAGAGGGAGAGAGAGAGAAGGAGAGATTATTAGGTATGCTTTTTGTCCTGTAATGGTTAAGAGATGCAGTCCCTACAGGGACTCGAGCAAGAATAGCTATGACAGCATAACTAAAAGGGAGAGCCAGAAGCTAACACAGACATGAGGACGTCCTGGGACATAAAGCGGCCAGCCACTCCACCATCAACAAACCTGAGTGAACGCGTGAGAGTGGGGGGGCGACAGCATCCAAACATCCCAGTTCACCACAACACTCTATGCCTGTGAACCCTCCAGATCTGCTCCTTTATCTAAGAAAAAAAACTATTCACAAAAGTCTTGACTAAATAAATATGTTTTCAGCCTAGACTTAAACACTGAGACTGTGTCTGAGCCCCGAACACTAAGTGGAAGGCTGTTCCATAACTGTGGGGCTTTGTAAGAGAAAGTTCTGCCCCCTGCTGTAGCCTTCACTATTCGAGGTACCAACAAATAGCCTGCACCTTTTGATCGAAGTAGGTGTGGCAGATCATAAAAGACCAAAAGTTCACTCAGGTATGGCGTGAGACCATTTAGTGCTTTATTGGTCAATAGTAGTATTTTATAATCAATGTAAAATTTGATTAAAAGCTAATGCAGAGTGGATAAGATAGGAGTGATGTGGTCTTATCTTCTGATTCTAGTAAGGACTCTCGCTGCTGCATTCTGGACTAACTGGAGCTTGTTTATGCATCTACTGGAACATCCAGACAGAAACGCATAACAATAATCCAACCTAGAGGTAACAAAAGCATGAAATAGTTTTTCTGCATCGTGTAGTGACATTATATTTCTTATCTTAGCAATATTTCTTAAATGAAAAAGTTATCCTAGTAATATTATCTACATGAGCTTCAAATGAAAGACTGGAGTTAATAATCACACCAAGGTCTTTTACTGCTGCACATGATGAAACAGAAAACCATCCAGAGTTATTATGTAATCAGAAAGCTTACTTCAAGCTGCATGTGGTCCTAGTACAAGTACTTCTGTCTTGTCAGAATTAAGTAGAAGGAAGTTAATAAGCATTCAGTGTTTAATGTCCTTTACACATTCCTCAAATTTATTAAACTGGTGTCTCTCATCTGGCTTTGCGGAAACATACAACTGTGTGTCATCAGCATAACAGTGGAAGCTAATACCATGTTTACAAATAATTTTACCCAGAGGTAGCATATATAAAGAAAAAAGCAGTGGACCTAAAAGAAAACCTTGCGGAACACCAAACTTTACCTTAGTATGTGTAGAGATGTCATCAGTTACATCTACAAACTAATAACAATCAGAGAAATAAGACCTTAACACCAACAACATTTTCTAGTCTATCGAGGAGAATAGCATGATCAATGGTATCAAAAGCTGCACTAAGGTCAAGCAGCACAAGCAAGGAGACACAACCCTGATCAGAGGCCAGTAGTAGGTCATTTACCACTTTAACCAGCGCTGTCTCTGTGCTATGATGAGGCCTAAATCCTGACTGATACATTTCATGAATGTTACTCCTATGTAAGTATGAGCATAACTGCTGTGCTACAACCTTTTCTAGGATCTTGGAGATAAAGGGGAGGTTTGATATTGGCCTACAGTTGGACAGTTGACAGGGGTTGAGGTCAGGTTTTTTAATCAGGGGTTTGATAACTGCTAGTTTAAAAGATTTAGGTACATAGCCAGTGCTAATGGAAAAATTGATTATTTTTAGAAGAGGTTCGCTTACTTCTGGAATTATCTGTTTAAGGAAACACATATGTAAGGGATCTACAATGGGCCACCCATTCTATCCACAGTAGTTGAGTGCTTGAGAGGGGTTGCTCGTAGCAAGGCACTGCAAACTCTATTTCCAACTCTTGATTGACCCGCTCCACTTGACTGTTGGTCTGGGGATGGAACCCCGAGGAGAGACTAATGGTGGGCCCAAGGGCTCAACAGAAGGATCTCCACACTTGCAAGACGAACTTTTGGCAGCACGTCCTGATTTTGCCAAGTGGTTGCTGTCCTGAGACCAATATATTTTATGATGTTCCTGGGACAACAACTGTGCGAGCCAATCAACGTTTATGATGTCATCACAGTGTGCCGTGCTGCTGCCAATTCCGCCAAAGTTTAAAAAAAAAAAAACAACAACAACGGCAAAACCCCTGTCAAACTTTCCCAAAATCTCATTTATTGGTGCCATTTCTGTTGCGTATGAACAAAACAGCAAGAACCGTTTATCAGTTCAGCTCGGTCCATCAGACAGTGCAGCACGATGCGAGACCCAGTGAGTGAGAAGCGTTTGAATTGGCTGATTTATTCTGTTACGTGATGTTGTCTTCAGACCATCATATGAATATGTTGACCTCAAGTCATCACTGATTTATTCTATTACGTGATGTTGTCTTCAGACCATCATATGAATATGTTGACCTCAAGTCTTCACTGATTTATTCTGTTATGTGATGTTGTCTTCAGACCATCATATGAATATGTTGACCTCAAGTCGTCACTGAGTCATCCACTCTGCTGAGAAGGTGATCGGCTGCAGCCTCCCATCACTCCTGGACTTATACATCTCCAGGACCCGGAGACGTGCAGCCA